GAGGGGAGGGGACCATAAGAAAGTGGCGTGGGGGCTAGCCGAAGGCAAGTAGGGCCAGAACCCATTGGGCTCTCTACAATTTGTTGGATAATGATTTATGTATTGTTTTTTCATTTTCAACTTTCAAGGAAAAAAATGCTAAAAGATAATTAATAAAAAAATCAAAAAATGTCATGATTATCTATATCTATACTACCTTATAAACCAAATTTATTAAAAGTCTTAAAAACAATTTCTAATTCACAAAGTATTATACATTTATGCCCAAAGTCTTAAAAATTTTAAAAACAACTCATAATGCATTAAGTACTACTATTTTATGCAATTAATGTTAAAATTTCTTAATCTACAATTAAAATAACATATATTACAAGTTATCAATGTACATTATTACATTTTATTTTCATGTTCCCTAGATATTTTGTGACATCTTTCACCCATGTCTTCACCCTCTCATACCTCTATATTTTCTCTTCATCTTCCAATGTGAGATTCAAACTGATATTTGTTATGAGTTATTAAGTTCTTCATTCATCTCTAATTTAATTGATTTAGAACTCTCGGTATCGTTGTCAATCTCTTGATTCTTTGCTCTTGGTGTAAATCGAACACATTTGTGGACTCGTTTAAATATGTTGAATTTTAAATATATTGGATTTTAAACTGTCATACATTTTTTTTCATGGATAGACTGTAATTGGAACCATAACTTCAAATTGTATTAATATGTAAAGACCAAGTGTAACTTATATCATCGTTAAATCTTTTTTAATAAAACCAGTGAAACTTCAAAATTGTTAAAATCCACGGCTCCCGCCGCATTGTGCGGTTACACAACTAGTAAAGTCTTAAAAGTATCTCCAACAACTATGCTATAATTTTATAAAATAAATTATTAAAAGTCAACTTATGAAGAAAGAAAACAATTGCTTATTAAAAGTCAAATCGAGTTTTAGAGAGTTTTCCAAATTTGCAGATTTCTGCTATTTCTCTTTTGTTTTTTTCTATTTAAGCATACATTTTAACATAGTTGTTAGAGGAAAAAAGTTCAAATTCTCCAAAATTTTAGAAGTTTAAATGTTGTGACTCTGAGCTACCTACAAAATAGGTGGTCATTTTAGGATTAGAGTTCATATAGCAGGTTGGATATTCAGGTTAATATAAAAAAATTAAAGAATAACTTTTATGTATTTATTTAAATAATGAAAAACATCTATTCCCAAATGCTATTTACCCAAATTAGTATGTTGATATGAAAGTTGGCCTTTTTATTTAATAGAAGATAAGGGTAGTATTGTATCATAGTACACAATCTAATTAATTTCTTACCTTCTCAATTATGAGGACATATTTGACATCTCACCATAAGTTGGGGTATAGTCTATTCATATGTTTTTAAATCGTTAAAATAGAAATATAAATATATTTATATTGTAAGAATTATCTGGATAAATAACTGTAAAAGATATTATGTTTTAACAACGATATTTTTTTTACTGAATTAAAACTATAGGTATATAATACGAATTAGAATTAAACCACAGTCGAGAGCATATCTTTAAATGAAAAAGATGGAAACTCGTAAGATTGAGAGTCGGCTATGAACTAAAACTGTAAAAAATTTGAAACCATTATGATACTAAAAATATAGTAAGTAACCACAAGGGTGGTACCTGATTGGTTTGAGCTTGGCTCTAAAGATCAAAAGTATCAGGAGGTTTCAGGTTCAAATCCAAAGAGGAATAAAAATTCTCTTGTGGCCACGAAGATTCAAATGCAGTGATTTCGGGCTATCTGCAAAGCAGGTGCTCGCCCTGTGATTAGTCGGCTCGTATAGTGGTATGGATGTTCAGGTTAATCAAAAAAAATATCGTAAGTGAAACTCGATTACAATATATATTGAAAAAAGAAAAATACCCAGTAAAACGAATTATATTTTCACATCTTTAACTGTTCGATTCGTGTTTATTATTGTATTATTCTACCATCAATAAAATACATTAAATGTTAGACTACGTACATATAAATAAGTTGAAGTTGTCTTAAAACAATTACAACATTTAGCATTTTGAAACTACAAGCGTGGTGCTGGATTGGTTTAAACTTGACTATAAATGTCAAAAGTGTCTAGAGGTCACATGTTCAAATCCAACAAGGAATAAAAGGCCTCTTATGACCACGGAGGTTTAAATGCGATGATTCTGAGCTACCTGCAAAAGAAGTGGTTGTCTTAAGATTAATCTGCTTGCATAACGAGTTAGATATTTAAGTTATAAAAAAAATAGTTTTAGCATTTGATTGGCTTATCAAAATAATGGTTATTTGAGTAGTGCTTCCATAAATATGATTATATAAAACATGGTGTTATAACTTTTACTTTTATTAAAAAAGAAAATAATAATATTAATTATTATAATTAATAATTATTATTATTATTATTAATGGAGGTTGATATGGTGGTTGTCCGTACCCAAAAGTCGTAGACCAGTTTCTTTGAACGTCTCTTTTTTTATGTTTGACCTTGTAATGTTTAAAGGTTTTGAAGAGCCAGTTTTTTTACTTTTATTTATTTATTTTTATTTATTTATTTACGATTTATGTTTCAGTATCACCCGCTTTATTGTAACGTGCTGCAACAGAATAACAGTGTTCATTCCCAACAACTAAATTACACATAACAACAAGAGTAAATTACGTTTTTGTCCCTTATGGTTGTGACTGACTGTCAATTCTTGTTTCTATTTTGAATTAATTACTGTTTTGATCATTGTGGTTGTCATTTTGTTTCTTTAAACTAACTTCTGTTAAATAAGTATATTAAGTGAAGAATATTTTCGTATATTTACTTTATTTTATTATTTTTTCACCACAGGAACCAAATATGTAATTTACTATTAACTAATAATTTTCTTCATTTTAAAATTTTTAATTACTCTATTATATATATAATAGAGAAGACGCGGATTCGGTTCCGTGGTGGGGGGGGGGGGTTCAATCAAATGAGAGCCCTAAAATTTGTGAGATCTGTGCGATCCAATATGAATCAATCATTTGTGATAGTTATGTTATTTATCAAATAAAAATAAAAGCTAATTTAATTAACTCATAAATGCATTTAGTGAATTTATTTTCTCCGTAAATAGGAAATTTATAACTTCCATAATAGAAAATCCACAATTTCTCAAATAGAACGTCAATAATTGTTCAAAATGTGTATCCAAGTCCTTAAACAGTACTTCTAGTGATTTTTTTTTAATTTTTAGTTCTTATTGTCGATGTGTCACATTGTATTTACAAGACGATCACAATGTGTAAAAGTCCTTACACAATACTTTTAAAGATCTTTAGTTTTTTCTTTTTTGTTGTTAGTGTCGTTGTGTCACATTGTGTTCACAAGTTAATCACAATATGTAAAAGAAATAGGTGGTCACAATGTTTAATTGAAACAATATAATTGATAGTGGTTCACATCATGATACCATATATTTTTGGTTTTTGGTTCAGTGGAGATGCTTGATTGGTGTTCAAACTTGATTATTGATTTTGTTTACAGTATGTATCAAAGTCCTTACGATTTTAGTGATCTATAGTTTTTTGTGTTTTTGTGTTTACATTATGTTCACTTGTGATCACGATGGATTATATATTGATACTTGTTAGGTTATTAGGTGTTCACAATGTGTTAGATTACTTGTTAGGTTTAGTTTTTTTTTTTTAATTATTTTGTTATTGGAAGGAAAGAAAAAGAGGAGAGATGAGAGAGAAAATTTCTAAATTATCCATAATAATCTTTATTTAAAAGTTTAGTTCAAAATTACCAAAATTATTAATTTCTTAATTTAATTTGTGGTTTATATTGGATCTCATGGATCTTACAAATATATGGTTCTTAAAAGAAGGCCCCCTATATGTGTGTGTGTGTGTGTATGCGTGTGTGTGTGTGTAATACACAAATCTAGGATGGAACAACTCCAACTCCATCGCCGGTAAGGAGAAACCATGGTTCAATCGATATCTTTTGCTTCGATTCTTTTGCTCATCTCGGAGTTATTTAGATCCCTCAGGTAGCGTTTGCTACGCAGACATGATTGGACATGACTGGAGATGACATAACTGTAAAGGAATGGACAGGACAAGAGAGTAGTACTGGACAGGACATGACTGGACATAACAAGTGTCTGTCTGGTGTTTGGTAAGATTGGACATGACAGAACTAGATAAGTTGCCTGCAAAAGTTATTTTATGATTATATATATATATATATCATATAATAGTTATAGTTATAGTTAACATAAATAAAGTAAATAATTTAATTTATAAACATTTTTACACAATTTTCATATACATAAATATAAAATAGTACCAAATTTGAATGAAAGTTTTTATATAATTGATGGTATTTTGATAAAACCCGATTCCTACAAAGAAGAAGTTATGTTTTATTCGGTTTGAAAGATCCTTAATTGATGGTATTTTGATAAAACCCAATTCCTACAAAGAAGAAATTATGTTTTATTCGGTTTGAAANTATTCGGTTTGAAAGATCCTTAATTGATGGTATTTTGATAAAACCCAATTCCTACAAAGAAGAAATTATGTTTTATTCGGTTTGAAAGATCCTTATCAAGGCACGATAAAGATTGTTGCAACAACAATGTTTGTGGAGGTAGAAACATTGGTAATTGGTGAACGATAGTGGTTGTGGAAGATGTGAAGATAGTGGACAATGGTGGTGGTGGTGGAGGTCGACAGTGGTAGAAGTGGTAGTTGTGGTCTATGTGGTAGAGGTAGCTGTGATGGTGGTGGTGGTGGCCAACGATACTAGTGGTGGTGGAGATGGACGGTTGTGGTTGTAGAGGACATGAATATGGTAGATAATGGTAGTGGT